TTACGGCAGCCTGAAGGAGGTAACACACCCAAGCTGGCTCTGCTCCCTGTGGTGCACCCTTACCCTGCCTCTTAGGGCCCACCATCACCTGCCCCCCCCCCACATCCTTCCCTATGTACCTCAACTCTGAGCCCTTCTCTCCTCAGTAAATCTGTAGGCTTGGCGGGTAAGTTGGCCTCCCTGCACAGTCTGCAGGCCTTTGGAGGGTGGTCTGACCTGCAGTGAGACACATGATAGCTAGCAGGTAGCGGGTGGCTAAATGGATGGATGGCGAGACCACCGTAAGTGCCGCGTATACCTGCATAGCCTGCTCAAGCGTGGATTAGGGACACAGCAGTCTTCAGAGAGCTTCCAGCATTGTCTACGAAGCATTGTCTAGGCTATTCTACCCTCCGGTTCCCTCCCGGACCTGTGTGATTCTGAGCAGCCTGGGGAAATTCCTAACCTCCCCTTTCAGCTGAGCCCTTGGCTCTTGGAGCTAGCCACAACATAACTACTCAGGTCTCTCCAACAAGGGGACTGTGTCTGTGGCTGATGACTCATGCACACTGCTCCATCCCGCAACCTTGGGCGGGACTTGGGCTGGGGAGGGTGCCAGCCAGCTCAGGCTAGGAGCTTGCATCCTGTTGCCCCAACCCAGTCCTGCAGAACAGAGTGTACTCAAAGCTCCAGGACAAAACTCTGGAAGCAGAGAGCCGGCTCTCGTTTGGACTGAGATCTGAGTGATGAAAAGAGCAGGCAGGGGAAACGGCAAGTTCAAAGTTCCCGAGGTAGGAATGCACTTGGCACAGTCAAGAACTGAATAGAACAACGGGGGAGTCAGGAGCAGCATTACAAGGGAGGTCAGGATAGGCGTGGGACTAGAAGGGTCTCACCTGAGCAGTCCAGACCAGTCACCCATGTTAAGCTCCTTAATTTTTTTTTCCAGAAACAGGGTTTCTCTGTGTACCCCGGCTGTCCTCAGACTTACTCTGTAGACCAGGCTGGTCTCAAGCTCCCAGAGAGCTGGGAATAAAGGTGTGAGCCACCACTGCCCAGCCTAACTAAGCTCCTTAGCCTTTTAAGACTTATTTTTTTTCATTTCATTTATGTGTATGTGTAGGGATGCCCGAGTGAGTGGGGTACATGTGGGAGCAGAGAAGGGTGCCAGATGCCTGGCGCTGGGGTTACAGTTGTGAACCACCCAGCCTGGGTGCTGGGAATTGAGCTTCGGTCCTCTGCAAGAGGCGCAATGGCCTTAACTGCCGAGCCATCTCTCCAGACCCATTGTCCTTATTTTAATCATCTCTGCAGAATCTGGAACATATTCCCAGGTTCTGGGGCATACAGTGACGTCGACGGGGTAGGCATTGTGTCTCTTCTTACTTTCTTACTTCTCCCATCCTCTGTCTATTCCCTCCGTTGTTAAGAGCACTGGCTGCTCTTGCACAGGACCTGTATTTAGCTCCTGACACCCACGCGGTGGCTCACACTCATTTGTAACTCCAGTTTAGGGGGATCCAGTACCATCTTTGGACCTCCTTGCCTACCTGGGACACATGTGGTGCATGTCAAATAAAAATTAAATCTTTAAAAAAAAGGGGGAGGGGGTTACCTCCTGAACCTCTTGCTGACCACAGGGTCCCTTTTCATACTGTCATCACCAACCCACACATGCTGCCTAACCTTCTCACCTTCATAAGGACTGTTTTTTTCTTCTTCTTCTTCTTTTATAACGTTGGGGTCTTGCTCTGTAAGCTGTGCGGTCCTCCTGCCTCGACCTCCTAAGCGCTGGGATTATAGAGACGCCCCACCAACTCTGGCAGGACCATTCTCCTGTAGACTTACTCCAGGCTGCCTGGGCCGCCACTTTTGCATAAATAATGCAGACTCACTTGAACTGGATGTTGATCTTAGATTAAAATGTGGGTAGAAAAGTGTATCTGCTGGGCAAGCATCCTGCGCATCAGATCACAAATCCTTAGATGGAAATTATTTTTAGGTTGTCTGGGAAAATAGCTCCAGAGACGGGGGCTCCAGAGACGTGGCCTTAGGCTTGTGTGGGCACGTGCAGATAGAAGGGCAGACACAAATCATATGTACGAGTACCCCCTCCCTTCAGCCTCCACATTAAGCATCTCCTTCCTGGCTTCCCTTCCCCTCCCCTCCCCTCCCCTCACATGAACAGACTCCTGCCGGCAGCAACTTAGGTCCTACTACATCTTGTGTCCTGTTTCCCTCTTTCTTCCTCTCTCCTAAATAAACGGGGAGGGGCACACTGGACAAGCATGCCAAGACATGTATGTGGAGGACAACTTGAGTGAACTAGCTCTCTCCTGTCATGTAGGTCATGGGATTTGAGCTCATCGGGCTTGGCAGGAGGTTCCTCTAGCTGCTGAGCCATCCTCTGGTGACTGCTTCCCATAAGGAATGCCTGTCTGTGGGGGAGTGGACACAAATACCTATTGGCTTTTGTTTGAGCTCCAGGAGCAGTTGGGGATAAGGGACATAAGAAATGGAGTGTCTAGGGACAGACCCTCTCCGGGGTGGAATGCACTGTGGGTGCAGTGCTCTCTATCTGTCCCCACCCTCTCTCTGAGGCTCTGGATGGACCTCCAGCACCTCTTGCCACAGCCACAGGGCCTAAACATCCAGGAAGCAATGCCCAAAGGAAGAACATTTGCCCCTCAGTCCCATAAGAAGATTTCAAAGCAGCCACCATATATGCTGGAGCACTCCCCGCAGCAGGAGGTTGGCCAAAAGCAGGACTAAAGGCCAGGAGGCCATTCATGAAGACTTGACTGGAGTGAGACCTCTCCGGACCTGGTGGGACTTACTGCTTAGTAGCCACACCGAGCCCTGACTCCATCCTTGCGCCTGCTATGGTTTGCCCTTCTTCCCTTCAGGAATACAGGAGCCTAACAAGCCACATCCCTATAACCTAATGCCAAGTGGAGTGTAGGCCTAGAACAGCACAGATTCGAACCTGAGCACATCCCACACCAGGATCCACCAGCTCAGAGCCCAAACCCTGGCCTCATCTTCACATTCCTTGCCACCACCCAGGCTGGACTTGAACTTGGTCTGTGGCCCAGGATGACCTTGAACTTCTTATTAAAGTTTTCCTTCTATGACATTTGTTTCTCTGGGTGTGGGTGTGGGTACATCTTCATGGATCGTGGAGTGCATGTGGGGATCCGTGAACAACTTAATTAAGTCACTTAAGTCAGCTCTCTCCTTCCATTACCTGTATCCCAGGGATGCAACTCAGGTCATCAGGCTTGGTGGTAAGTGCCTTTATCCGCTAAGCCATCTCAGCCTCAAACTTCTGATTCTCCAGCTTGCATCTCCTGAGGACTGGAGTTTACAGGTGTGTGTCACCACGTTCAGTTGATTTTGGTGCTGGGGGCTGAACACTCCTTTGTATGCGAGGCAAACACTCTACTACCCGAAGAACATCCCAGCCCTGAGTGGGTTCTTAGCAACTGTTCGGGCAATGAATTATGCCCAACTTTGTCTCCCCAGGGGCCGGATATATTTCACCTAAATATACGGGGAAGAAATAGAGCCTTACCTGCCAAAGGAGGGAGCATCTTCTGGAGGCCAACCTTCTCAGCAGTGGCTTCACTCCACCTGATTCCCCAGTCCCAGACCCACCTAGCTGACCAAGGCCCTCAGAGCATAGAGAAATGGGGTTTTCTTTGTCCCTGCTCAGATTCCATAGGAAGGCTCTAGAAGGAAGATAGTCTCTGAAGCTGGTCTATCTGGAGCAGCCCAGAGTGAGACCATGATTCTAGGTACCAAAGAAAGCCAAACAGGCCCAGTCTACACAGATCACTACACTTGAGGCAGATGGGTGGGGCAGGACAGTCCATTCCAAGTGTCTTGAAGTTAGTACCATTGTCCCTTAGCTGAAGGTCTCTTCCTCAGAAGTGGCCCTACTCCATGACCAGCTCACACCTTCCCATCTCCCAATCCTTACCAAAGGCAAAAATCATCTTGATCTGTATTTCCCTGTTTCTCTCTCTCTCTCTCTCTGTGTGTGTATGTGTGTGTGTGTGTCTTTGCTTTTTTTCTAGACAGCAAAGGCTGTTACATAGGCTGGCCTTGAACTCACAGAGATCCTCTAGCCTCTGCCACCTCCACCTCCACCCAGACTCTCTCTCTTTAAATTTTACTTTTAGATATGGTCTCATAGAACCCAGGGTAGCCTCACACTCACTACAGAGCTGAAGATGACCTTGAACTTCTGAGTTTCCTGCTTCTATCTCCCAAGTTCTGGGATTTCAAGTGTGTTCCAGTGAGACTGGAGAGACGGCTCAGGGGTTAAGAACACTGCTCTTACGGAGGACCTGGGTTTGGTTTCCAGCACCCACATAGTAACCTTTGACTGCCTGTAACTCCAGTTCCAAGGGCTCTGATGCCCTCTTCTGACATATTGGACTCCTGCACACATCTGGTACACATAAACTCATGCAAGCACATGCACATACAGATAAATATAATTAAACCTTTAAAAAGCACAAAGCAAGCTAGCACACACCTGTAGTCCCAGCACTCTGGGAGGCAGAGGCAGGCAGAGGTCGAGACCAGCCTGGTCTACAAAGTGAGTCCAGGACAGCCGAGGCTACATGGAGAAAAACAGTCTCAAACAAACAAACACACACACAAACACCACAAAGCAAACCCAGGCATAACGGTGCATGCCTTTAACCCCAGCACTCAGGAGGCAGAGGCAGGTGGATCTCTGTGAGTTTGCGGCCAGCCTGGTCTACATAGAGAGTTCCAGAACAGCCAGCTGGGGATGCTGTGGAACTCCTAATCCTCACTCTTCTGTCTCCCATGAGTTGGTATTACAGGAGCAGACTTCTGGTCGTAATTGTTTTTCTGAGGTGTTCAGATCAAAGGCTGGCTCTCAGGCTGGGGTGCAGCTTACAGCAGAGAGTTACTCAGACTCAGCACACTCCGGACACTCGTGACCAAACCAAAACTAAACAAAAAAGGAGGACTCGTTAGGCAGGCATTTTGCTTTATTGTGAACGAGGTGGTATGGTACCATGTATCCTGAGGCTTGCTTGCCACCTTTTTTTTTTTTTTTTTTAATGTGTATGTCTGTATAGCACTTGTGTGTCTGGGACCCATACAAGTCAGAGGAGGGCATTCCAGCTTCCTGAAACTGGAGTGAGAGATGGTTATGAGCCGCCATGTGGGTGCTGGGACTGTCCGGTCCTCTGCAAGAGCAGCCAGTGCTCTTTACCACTGAGTCCTCTGTCTCACACAAGGGTGCTCCTTCCTTGTGCTCTGTTTAGTTCACCCTCCCAGGAAGGCCTCCTGTGCTCTTGTCAGAGGTCTCCCCAGAGGAGAGTAAAATTGTGTATTCTCTCCTCCTCCCTGAAGACCAGCTGTTCCCAGCTTCACCTCAGAGGGCTCCTGATACGTTCTTCCTGAATGAAGGACACTTTGTCCACGGGAGAGTCTCCGAAAGACTAATCCGTCTGGTTCCCTGCTACTGGCCTCTCTGGACCATCTTTCCCCAACCCTATCCCATCTGACTTGCCATCTGCCATGGTTTACAAGTGGCACATCCCCCGAGGATTCATGGGTAGGAAGCTTAGTCCCTGGTGTGCTGCTGTGAGAGGTGATGGAACCTGAACGAGATTGGGCCTGGCGGGAGGTGTTTGGGCCACTGGGGAACCTGTCCTCCTAAGGGAATGCTGGTTGCTCAAAGCAAGTGTGCTGCCATACAGTCCTGAGCTTTGCCTGAATTCCTTCCCTGCTTCCAGCGTATGATCTGTCTTTCACAGAATTCCTGTCACTGTGAGGGCTGTCAGACATGAGGTTCCCACCGGAGCCATGCTGAGGCCGGCACCATGCCCTTGAGCCCCCAAAACTAGGACTGTGTAAACTTGTGGGGAACTGTTTTGTTTTGTTTCTTGCGAGGCTGGGGCTAGCTCCTTGGGTACACTAGGCAAGCAATCCACCAGCAGAGCTACCTCCCCAAGCTAAGGTGTGCTTCGTTACAGAAATGAAGAATGGAGGAACACTCCATCTAGATATTCTTCTCAAGAAACTCTCTTGGGCTGGGTGTGGTGGCACCTACCTTTGATCCCAGCACCCCAAGGGCAGAAACAAAAGATCTTTGTGAGTTCAAGGCCAGACCGGTCTTCACATCGAATTCCAGGACAGCGAGTGCCACATGAGACCTGTCTCAAAAAGAAGAAGAAGAAGAAAAAAAAAACTTTTGACCATTTAAACCCTATTTTCCTGAGGCATTTTAGCATTTCTATTTGTTTGCTTGTTTAAGACAGGGTCTCAACCTGGAGATCACTACGTAGTGTAGTTGAGGGTGGCCTTGAATTCCTCCTGCCTCTACATCTCAAGTTCGGGGATTAGGGACGTTCGCCTCCATGCCTGGTTTATGTGGTACTAGGCATCAAGGTCAGGGCTTTGTGCATGTTGGGCAAATACTGTACCAACCAGCTGTATCCCAGCCTGTGAGCTTTTTGAAAGGTGAGCTATTTCTAAGGCCAGTTCCTGCCTTTGTGACTGAGTATGGGGACAGTCTGGAAGTCTGGCACTGGGGAAAGGCTTGCTCTGATTTATCAGAGATCCCAGGGGAGGTGAAAGACCTCTGCTTGCACAACTGTTTCATTTCAAACCAGTACTCTGGGTTCCTGGTGGCTCATGAAGGGGGCTGATTCCCTCAGCCCAGAGTGGAGTATCTCACACTTGGACTGCCACTGGCTGCTGATCTGACAGGAGTTACTGGCTGCTGCCAGGTTCTGGAGAGGTGGCTGGAGGCCCCAGGGATCTCCACTGCCTTCTGCCATCTGTGGCCGATGGGCTAGGTCTGAGAAGATGAAAGGGGACAGGTGGCCTGGCTGGCACATTATCCAGACATCTCCTGGGACTGGTCAGGGCCATCTCTGAACTGGCTGACTGTGGCTGCGGAGGGGCACCGCTCTCAGCCACGCACTGTCATACACCCAGGCACAGCCAAGCTCAGATCTTGCCAAGGCAGAATCTTTAGCCACAGGCTGCCTTGAGTGGCTTTTCACTCTGTTCCAAGTCTCAGCTGTAGTTTCTCGGTGGCATCCAGGAGGCTTAAACTCTGGCTCTGTCTTCTTCTGAAGGTCTGTTTGGCACATAGTAGGTACTCAGCAGCTACTTATTGAATAAGCAATGGACTGATAATCACCCTTCAGATAAAGCCATACCATACTGCCAACCCTAGATGGAAGAGAAAGAATTCTAGAAATATTGATAAAAGGAAATATGAGGGCTGGGAATGCAGCTTAGTTGGCAGAGTCCCTGCCTACCATGCACAAGCCTCTGGGCTGGCTCCCCAGCACCACATAAAAACAGGCATAGTGTCACACACCTAGAATCCCAGCACCTGGGAACCTGGAAAGTAGAAACAGGAAGATCGGAAGTTCAAAGCCATCTTCAGCATCCTTAACTACACAGAGTTCAGAACCAGCCTAGGATACATGATACCCTGCCTCAAAAAAATAAAAAATTAAAAAAACAAAACAAAACAAAAAAACAGCCAGAGGTGACAGGCTCTGCCTTTATTCCAGTGGTTCAGAAGCCATCTGTGACTTTGAAGTTAGACAGGGCTACATAGTGAGACTGTCTTAAAAAGAAACAAAAGGAAGGAAGGAAGAAGGAAAGAGAACAAAGCTTATTTGTATCCTTACAAGCATCTTTCCAGATTCCTGTCCCCACAGGGAGAGTTCTTTCCCCACAGGACTCCCACAAATGCTTCAGGAGCCCTAAGGTAAGAGCAGGGCTCCGATCTGGCGTACTAACCTCCATGCTCTTTCTATTTTCAAGGGTGACCGTTGCTGCCTTTGGGGGAGCTTATGAGAAATACAGAACTCTGAAGCTCCACCCCAGGCTTCCTGAAGCAGAACCTTCTCTTGGAGAAGCTCCTGGTCATCCATGGACTTGTTATCTTTGACCAGACACTGCCCTGAGCACCAAGTGAGTGAGTGTCAGTCTGGAGCCTGCATAAGGACTTCTCAGCCCACCCCATCCTCCGAGGCAGGCTGCTGGCAGCTGCGGCTGACACATCTGGTGCTCCTGCCTACCTTGATGACTCAGACAAATGACTGAGTCAGATCGTTTGTCTCTCCAGCCCTTGAATGTTGCCTGGAACATAACAGACACTCAATAAATATTCAATGCATGAATGCTGAGCAAATCTTATGCTATTTTTTTCAATTAAAGTACTTAGGGTACCGGGGACCTCTGCTTCGGTACATAAATCGCAAGTTATTTCAAAGGATTTTTGTGCTTTCAGTAAAGACTCCTGGAAAAACATCTATTGTCTAACAGGCAATTACTGACCGCCAGGCCAGTGTCTGACACCCATGATCACAAACTCCATGTTTTATAAAGGATGGTTCCTAGGCAAGAACTTCAAGAATGACCAGGTAAGGAAGCTGGAGAGATGGCTCAATGGCTAAGAACACTCGATGTTCAGGCAGAGTGCCTGGGTTCAGTTCTCAGTACCCCACAGTGTCTTACAACCACAGGAAACTCAATTTCCAGGGGATTTGAAACCTTCCCCTGGCTTCGGTGGGCACCAGGCATGCCCGTGGCATACATAAATACATGCATGCCAAATACTCAGAAACATAAAATAAGTGAATCTAAGAAAAGAGAATGGCCAGGCAAAGGGGGTCTGGGGTGGTGTGGTTCAGAGTTAGGGTGCTTACCTGGCATGTATATTACCCTGGGTTCAATTCCCGGCCCTGTGTGGTGGTGCATATCTGTAATCCCTGCAAAGGTAGAGGCAGGAGGGTCAGAAGTCAAAGGGCAAGCTAGAGAGATGGCTGAGAGGTTAAGAGCACTGGCTGTTCTTCCAAAGGTCCTGAGATCAATTCCGAACAACCACATGGTGGCTCATAACTATCTATAGTGAGAGCTGGTGCCTTCTTCTGCACAGGCACACATGCAGTATAAATAAATAAATAAACAAACTTCATATATATTAAAATTGTTTTAAAAATGATAAATAAAGTTCAGGGTCATCCTCAGCTACAGATCAAGTTCACGACCACTAAGATACTGTATCAGCAGGCCAGGTGGTGCACACCTGTGATCCCAGCACTCAGGGATGCAGAAGCAGGCAGACCTCTGTGAGTTCAAGGCCAGCCTCGTATGCAGAGTGAGCTCCAAGACAGCCAGGGCTACCCAAAGAAACCCTGTCTCAAAAAACCAAAAATAAATATAATAAAATGAAGAGGAAAAAAAAAAGAAAATAATAACCATAAGTAAGGCAAGCATGGTGACTTGAGCCTATAATCCTTGTACGTGAGAGACTGAGGCAGGAGGATTACTGCAAATTCAAGTGTATCATAGGTTGCATAGTGAATTCAGGGCAACCTGGACTACAGTGTAAGACTCTATCTCAAAAAATAGCAAGAACAACTAGGTGATTGTTGAAGATGTAGATCTATAGATCCCTGGGCCTTGTTCTAAATCTGCTGATTGAAAACCTGTGGGCAGCCAGGGGTGGTGGAACACTTCAATCCCAGCACGTGGGAAGCAGAGGCAGGCAGATCTCCGTGAGTTTGAGGCCAGCCAGGTCTACAGAGTGAGTCCAGGACAGCCAGGGCTGTTACACAGTGAAAGCCTGTCTTTAAAAACAAGAACACAAAAACAAAAGGAGGAAGAGAAGAAGAAGGAGAAAAAAAAAAAACCTGTGGTATCAGGCTAGAACTATGTCTGCCTGTCTGTCTGTCTCTGTATGTATGCCAGAGATGAAACCCAGGCAGTTGAAAGTTACACCTTTTTTTTTTTTTTTTTTTTTTTTTTGAGACAGTCTCATTTAACCCTTGAACTTTCTGTGCAATTGAGTCTACTGAACTTCTGATCCTCTTTGACATTCATGAAGCCATGCTTCCCACCAGTCCCTGCCACTCTTTCTTGACACGTCAAGTTTTTGCTTACTTCCCTCTACTGCTGTCAACGGTGACCTCCACGCTTCTGAACCTTGAGATTCTTATTTTATTTTTATTAATTACAGTTTATTCACTTTGTATCCCACCTGTAGCTCCCTCCCTACTCCCCTCCATGTTTTGATTTTTTAAGACAAGGTTTCTCTATGTAGCCTTGGCTCTTCTGGAACTGTTTAGACCAGGCTGGCCTCAAACTCAGAAACGTGCCTGCTTCTGCTTCCCCAGGGCTGGTGTTAAAGATGAGCGCCGCCATGCTTGGCTTTTTATTATTATTATTATTAAACAGGGTCTCCCCATGTAGCTAAAGCTGGGGTGGAACTCCCTACCTAGATCAGGCTGGCCTCAGCCATGTACAGACTTACCGGTGTTAAAGGCCTGTATCACCATGCTCAGCTTCGCAATAAAATATTACCTGATCCTTCAGCAGTTTGGGGCAGTACACATTCACAACTTTCCTCCCATCTGTTTGGATGCTTCTTGAACTGTTTAGTTTCTAGATTTATTTTTATTTCTGACTCAGAATCTCATGTAGCCCAGGTTGTCCTCAAACTCAGTATGTAGCTGAAGATGACCAGAACTTTTGATTCTCCGCCTCCACCTCTCAAGTGCTGGTACTGTAGCCACTGACTACCGAATTGCTTTACAGGAAGCTAGGCATGGAATCCAGGGCTTTCTGTGTGCCAGGCAAGCCCTCTACCGAGATACATCCTCAGCCCCTTCTTTCTCTCATTCTTAATGATACCTTTGCTGAGTCTGCCTCCTCCAGATCTTAGTCTTTGCAGTGTCCAAGGGCATCATCCTCGGAAATGCTCCTCTTTCCACCCTTCTCTGATGCTCTCATAAAGCCCCACAGCTTAAAACATCACCCATCAGCCCCACTCTGCCCATGTTGAAACTACCATGTCCAGCTGCCTAGGAGAAGCCTAAAGACAGGCGTTCAACAGGCACCTCAGACTTAATATGCCCATAGAGGAGGACCCTTCTCCTCCTCAAACCTCCTCCTTCCTCTTTCCCCATCTCAGGTACTAGCAACTCCATCTTCCCATTGGCCCAAGACAAAACTCTTACAGCTGTTCCTTTATTTAAAACAAAATTCAAGTTATATTGTATTTGTTTGTATGTATGTGGGTGTGTGGGGGTACGCATAGGCCTGCACATGCCACATCATGTGTGTGGACGTCAGAGGACAACATGCAGGAGCTGATTCTCTCACTCCTCCGGGTACATTTGGGAAATTAAGCTTGGGTAGTGGGAGTTAGCGGAAAGTGCCTGCTATGCCGTCTCACCAGGCCTTCTGATTTCTTCAACTCCCCCCTCTCTCTCTTCAATCAGCAAATTCTGTTAAAATACATACAGAACTTGTAGCACATATATTTTAAAATCTATTTTATTTGGTTTCTTATTCTTCATTCTCCCCCCCACCCCCAACACTAGGTAGGAAAGAAAGGATAGAGGGGGAAGGGGGGTACTCAGTTCTCTTTAGCTACTTCCTGCTGGTTAGGGTCGTTGGGTTCTTTGGGGAAAGTCCAATCTTTATTTCAGGATCTCTCCAACTTCTTCTCAAGAAACTGTAACAACAGCAGCCAGAAGCAGCAGAGGAGAAACAGCAGCCTTCTGCTTCTTTTTCTGTGGGCCCTGTCTCTCTCCTGGCTCTGGCATTTATTCCTCCCCCTCAAGGTCCCGCCCCAGAATTAAACTATCTGCAGCTGGCAGAGATCACCCCCCTTTCAGAGCCTGCTTGAGTCACATAGTCTGCTGTTGTGGACAATGTAGAGCAGCCCAATATCCCACACCTGGGATTAAACCAAAACCACGTTTACGTAACATAACTGAGTTTATAAAGACGCCGAAACTTCCGCTACAAGAACCTGGCCACTTTGGCCACTCTCACTGCTACTACTCTGGTCTATGGCAGCATCCTCCATCCTAAACGCTCCTCCTGCTTCAGCCTGCTCTCCCATGTGACAGCCAAGTGACCTGTAAAACCTAGTGTCACATCATGACCCTCTTCTGCTCAAAAGCCCCATCTCACTCCAGCAAACACCAGATCCCTTACAAGGTCCCACAAGGCCCTACACATTTCATCCTTTACAGAGAGCACGCTATGAAGAGCACCTACCTGCCTGCTAGCCCCTTAATTTTGCTTGTGCCATGGACTCAAGTACTCTGATACCTATGAATTCCTCTGGAGGATAACAGCTTTATTATTTTTGCAGTGGAATGCTGAGAGTTGAATCCAGGACCTTAGGCAGCCTAGGCTGACCTCAAATTTGCTATGTAGTCAAGGATGACCTTGAACTCCTGCTCCTCCTCCATCAGCCCAACAGGTGGTAGGGATAATAGGTGTGAGCCACCATCCTGCAGCCCTGGGAATAGGTTCTATGGATTGTGAAGAATCCTAATTATATTGAAATGTGGCGATCAAGATATTTTCAAAACCCATAACACGCTAATGTGTGCTTTATTAAGTCACAAGAACAGCATAATTTGAGGTAGTGATGTGTAATGGTATTTTAGGCTATTAGTAACAGCTGTCACGGAGTATGAAAATACCTGTGATTTCCACCAGCAACATGTCACAGGTGCAGTTATTAGCAGAGATTTCCTGTCCCTCTTTGTAATTGAGAAACAAGCCACACTTTAGTGATGGAAATGAAGACGTGAGCTTTCTTCCCATCAAGTCAAGATCCCTGAATTCTACCCACAGACCTATGAAGAAGAGCGTCCCAAACACCAGGTTAGGAAGCCTGGTTTTAGAATGCTCCCCCTTCACCTACAGGCTCACTCCTAACTTCCATCTTCTCAGACCATCCAATTTAAAACTGCACCCCTCGATCTGACACCTCCTTCTCACCTCTGCAGGCACTGCGCATACATGAAATAGACATAGATGCAGGCAAGACATCCATACATATAAATTAAGAATAAATCTATTAAAAATAAAATTGTACCCCTACTACTGTTGTGATTTCCAATTATTTTTTTTTTACCTTAGCACTTAATTATCTTCAAACATACCTGCAACCCCAGCATTTGAGAGTCTGAGACATAAGGGTTGCAGAGAATTTGAGGCCAGCCTGGGCTACACAGTGAGTCTGAGGCTAGTCTGGACTCACACTTGATTATTTAGTGAGTTCTACCTTTAAAAAAGTTTTTTTTTTTTTTTTTTCAGTGCCAGAGAGATGGCTCAGCAGTTAAGAGCGCATATTGCTCTTGTAGAGGATGGGAGTTCTGGCATTTCAGTCAAGCGGCTGACAAAGCCTGTAACTTCAGCTCTGGAGCATCTCTCTCCCTCTTCCAGTCTCCACAGGCACCTTGCACTCACACACACACACACACACATACACACACACATATCCACACACAGGCACACTCATACACCTAATTAAAACTAAGATACAATTAAAATTTTTCTTCTTTCTCCTTTCCCGTTTTTTTTCGGGGATGGGTGGGTGGGTGGAGAGTAATTCCACTCAGTCTGTAGTCTCATTTTGCTGTCTTGGCTGAGTTGAATTTACTTTGCAGCCCAGGCTAGTTTTTTAAACTCTTGGTAATTCTCCTGCCTCAGCTTCCCAAGTGCTGAGATTATAGGTGCGAACCATATGCCTAGCTAAATGAACTTCGTATTTGTTTAATTAAGCTGTGTATCTCTGTCCTTCAGAAAATAGGTACCAAGAGACTGGACATTTATGACTCTTTAATTTGAGCTGTGTCCACAGCACCTAGACTGGTGATTACCATGAGGCCTTCAACAAATAGAACAACAAACAACATTATTACAACAACAACAAATGGGGCCTTCTCCACAGCCCTTTCTCATTTTTTTCCCAGCAAAAAAAGTTAATGAGTGGTTTGTGAGACTTTTTAATAATGATTAAGGAATTAAAATCAGCTTCACAATTATCATTTTGTTAGCACTTTCAAGGTTAGCCTTAGACAGTAGCACAAAACTAGGGGAAACCCAAGGACTAGTGGGGATTTTGGTCCTAAAAGGGTGGTGTTTTCTAAGAACTCTTTAAGGGGCCCTGGTCTAGCCCCAAGTTAGAGAACTATGTCAAGGTCTAAATAGAACAGTCATTCTTGCTAGGATCAATCATAATGAGACTATATAATAACTACTTTTTTTTTTCTGTTGTGTAGCAAGAGACAATTAGAGTGATGCCAAGGTCACTGGGACTTAAGTGTCCATATACCACTGCTGGCTGTGGGATTTCTGTCAAGTTACTAAAACCTTTCTGAACAGGGTTTGTGGGCTTTTTTGTTTTTTGTTGTTGTTGTTGTTTGGTTTGGTTTTTTTTGAGACAAGATTTCTCTGTGTAGCCCTGGCTGTCCTGGAACTCACTCTGTAGACCAGGCTTTGAACTTAGAGATCCACCTGCCTCTGCTTCCCAAGTGCTAGGATTAAAGGCATGTGCCACCACTGCCCGGCGTCTCTGGATTATTTTACAGTTCCTTGCCAAGACATTTTCCCCTTCCAGTTCATGGGCTCCCGATGGCCAAGAGAAACAGCCTGTCCTGTCCTCTTCTGCAGAGACACTCCATGGAAAAGACCAAGCCTGTGGGTCACTGCAGACTCTGTCTCTATGTATTTGTCTCTACCCACATGGCTGACATTGTTGTCAGGACCTTGACCATGAAGCCCACTATTTCTGTCCACACCGGACTTCTTGCATGCATCTTCAGAGTTAAAATAGCATTGTCCTCTTGCTCTTGCCTAGCATGGGGAAAGCCCTGGGTTAATCCTAAGCAACAACAGCAAAAAGAAACACAAGGGCTGGGGAGATGGTTCAGTGGTTAAGAGCACTTGCTGCCCTTCCAAAAGACCAGAGTTCAGGTCTCAGGACACACATTAGGTAGCTCACAACCATCTGTAACTTCAGCTACAGGGCATCCCACGCCTCTGGCCCGCTTCACCTGCATTCCTATGCACCTGCCCACATACAGACACATAATTAAAACTAGGTGCACACACACCTACACATAACTAAAAATAGTTTTTAAAAAGTAAATAGTTCTATAAGAAAGACAACACCGGTCCAGCACCCCGGTGGACTGTGCATTCTTAGCCAGGTCCTACAGGGTGGAAATTTACATATTCCTACACACGGGTGCTCGGGTGCTCGGGCATGTGGACTCTGAAATCCTCAGCTCACCCAGGTGAAAACAGATCCAGAGAGATTCCTTCACTGGCCTGCTTCACACAGCCACCTGAAAAGGAAAGCCAGGATTAGAAGCCGTTTAGCAAGCTGTTAGAGGCTCCCAGGCTGCCAACACCTGTTAGCAGACATTGACCTTGGCCTGGGAAAAATCTTCTCAGTGGACCACTGAGAACCAGAGCCAGGGCTAACTATGAGGTGGTAACGAGCCCCTCCTCTTACCAGACAAGCCTCTTCAAACTTTGTGAATGAAGGCCAGAGAAGAGAAATTCTGCTGGTGGCTTCCTTTGAGTTCATATTTCTTTCTTGTTGCAAAAAGCGCTTATTTCAGCATTCATCATACCCCTCTGTTGCATAGACAACCTCCCTGTCAGAGGATTTGAGCTGTTATGAGTTTGTTTATTATTAGATTTATTTCTCCTATAAGCAAATGTGTTCACAACATTCCATCGGGGAATCTTCTTAATTGTCACATAAATGTCATCTTATGTAAATTGAATATTTATCTTTCCATGCAAGGGGGGGTTGGGGTGAGGGGGAAAGGAAAAATAAACAACCTTCAGTCTTGGAGAAGGAAAGGGATTTAAAAACTCATCCACCTGCCTTCAAAAACAAAGATGAGTTGGGGGGTGGGGGTGGATCATTTGATTATCTCGGAGGAGGCAGAAAACGTTGACAAAGATAAGATGCCTTAGGGATGCTGGGCCAGGCTTCCCCAAACCTCGGCCCAAAGGCAGCCAACCTCCGATGCTGGAGTATCCCCAGGAGGCAGGAGGTTGCCCCCCACACGCCTACCCATCCAGAAGGCCTGCCCTTTTCCTTCCTAGAGAGAAGGTGAGCTCCCCGGGCGCAGCGGGTTGGGTGGGTGTGGCCCGCAGCTCAGGGAACAGACCCAAGGCTCCGCCACTGCCGGCTAGCCGCCCGACAGCCCGCCCGCCTGGCGAGCGCAGGCTCTTCTTCCAGAAACTGCGAGGATTGGAGAGCACTGTTTGTGCACCACAAGGTCAAGTCGGGAAGTGGAGTCGGAGGAGGAGGGGCGAGGAGGAGAGGGAGGGGAGAGGGGCGCCCCACTTCTCCGCCAAGTACTAGCCCTGGGAAGTTGCCCCCTCGGTTTTTAACCCTTTGCGGTTAGGAAAAGGCACGAGGCCGGAGGAAGAGGGTGCCAGGGTGCAAACTCCTCCTGAGGCTAGGATATGTTGCCTCCCTGCTAGCCACCCACCCGTCACAGCGCGCCTCACCCCCCCCCCCCGAAATGCAGGGCCGCACCCGGCCCCCGGGAGGCACCCGGGGGGGGGAGGGGACAACGAGCCCAAGAAGGGCCCCCCCCCCCCTCTACGGACAGCCCCTCTCTTCCGGAGGTCGCTCACAATTTCAAGTTTCCCTGCCTGGGATGCTAGTTTGCATTTGGTGTGGGTGGGGGAGGAGGACCGCGCCCCCTCCCCCAGCCCCGTGCGCGCCCCTCCCCTGCACTCCTGCCAGCACTTTCTGCTCACTTCTGGCGCTGCAAAAAAAAAAAAAAAGAAAAGCAAAAAAAAAAAAAAACAAAAAAACGCCACGCGATTTCTCCGATTCCGATTTTAAAACCAGCGATTCCGAAACCGGGTGGAGGGCGAGGGTCTTCCAGCCCCGGAGTCCGGGGGGGTGGGGCGGGCGGGCGGGTACCCCGTGCAAGCCTCGTTTCCTCCGCGAGTGTCGCCTCCAGGCTGCTATTTGCAAAGAAACGTCTTTTTGACGCAGGGAGAAATGGCAAATTTTAAGTACGTCATTAATATGGCGCCAAAAGATTTTTTTTTTTTTAAGTATAAGCTTGCTTTTTTTTTTTTTTTTTTAAGGTTGCGGGGGGCTCCGCCTGGGTCTGGGGCGCGAAGGGGGCGGGGTGTGAGCAGAAAGTGCGAGTGAGCGAGCGGAGGGGCGGGGTGTGTGTGTGAGTGTGTGAAGTGTGAGCCGACCTGATGGGACTTGCACGGGCTCCGCCGGCGCTCGGGCCCGGCCCTGGGGACAGGGCGGGCTGGGGGCGCCCCGGAGTCCACGAGGAGTCCGGGCCCGCGTGCAGGCGGGCGGGGGACCTGCAGGGCACCCCCCCCCCCCGGGGCCCCAAACCCTCCCGGGGCCGGTCGCCGGGGCCAAACAACGGGGGGGGGGGGGGGGGGACACGGAGGGGGGTGCCGGGAGCAGAGATCTGAGTGAATTAGAAAAAAAGTGGCTACTCCCCCTCCCTCTCCTCTTGCCCGCCCCCACCCCACCCCCACCCCACCCCCACCCCAACACATTTTTTTTTTCCCCCTCAAAAGAGATCACAAGGAAGTCTTGGTTTAAAAAGAAACAGAAACATACACAGGGGGTTGGTGAATGGTGCCGACCGCGGCCATCGCAGTTGGAGGCTATTTTTTTTTTTTTTTTTTTTGGAGGGGGGGGGGGGGGGTGGGGTTCTTGTGTTTTTTTTTTGCCCCTCCCTGGGGGGCCGGCCCGGGGGGGGGGGGGGGGGCTCTGTCCCCCCTGGGGGGGGGGGGGGGGGGGGGGGGGGACGCCGCGGCCCGGTCGCCTCCCTCGCCACGACCCCGGATGGATGCGCGCCCCCCGCCCTCCCGCGCCGGCCCCAGGAGCTCCTGGCTTCGGGAGCATCCTTCCCGCGCCGGCCCCCGCCGCGGCGCGTAGCCGAGGGCAGCGCCCCTCGAGAGGGCACCGCGGAGCAAGGTAAGAGCCAGCCTACGGCGGATGGGCCCTGCGCATCTCCACGGCATTATTTTGTGGGTTTTTTTTTTTTTTTTAACAGATCTGCCAGTGCTCCTCGATCCCTCTCTCTCTCTCCCTTGCTCGCTCGCTCCCTCTCTCTCTTGCTGGCTGCCTGTTCGAGGAGGCCGGGGGGGGGGGGGGGGGGGGGGGGTGGACGCACAGCACCGGGGAGAGAGATTGCGCATGTTGGTCAGCCGTGTTTTAAAGAGTACAGTGCGGGGAGGCTGAGCGGGGCGCACGTAACAACTTTTGGAAGGGTGAGCCTGGCGACCTTCTTTATTAATGACTGCGGCAAAGCGCCCCTGGGCCGGCGAGGGGACGCGGGCGGGTGGGGGCGCTGGGGCTGCAACTTGCCTCGCGGGCTCCGGCCGGCCCGAGGGGCTACAGCGCGACCGGGGTGCGGGGTAAGGGAGGCCGAGCGGCTGGGCACCGGGGCACGGGAAACCCGGAGCTATCTGCCCTTCTGCCTCCCCGAGTTTCATTTTGTTGATAACGCAGCACGTCTGGGGTGCCGAACCGGGCTGAGCCGATGCACATGACCCCGTGCTGGGCTCACGTGCAGCTTGGTCCAGTCCTAGACACCTTCCGGGGGCCACCGCCTCCGCCCTGCGCCCCCTTTCCAGGCTGGGTGCACGCGGGCGCTGCACGCGGGGGCAGCATGCTCAGTGCCTGGGCTCAGAGGCATTGCACAAATTAGGTTTTTTTTTTTTTTTTTTCCTCTTTAAGGGGCGGGGGACAACCTTCCCAGGTGAGTGCAGGGTGCGCAGCCCAGGCAGGCAGGGTGCGTACCCGGGTAGGGGACAGCAGCCCTCCGGGGCTGTTCGGGAGTCCGGCGGGGGAAGAGGCGCTGCGAGAGTGGAAATGTACCGGCGGCGGCCGGAGCGGCGGGTGCGCGCTCTCGGGGTGACGGCAGGGGGCGTGGCCCTTGTTTACCTTCTCCCAACTCTGCTGGTTCGCGTCCCGCTTCGGGGACGACTCTGCAGCCCTCCCCCCTCCTCCCCCGCCCTCCGTCCTTACACTCTGGGTGGTACCTGGGAGCAGCGGGCAAGTGGCGGGCCCTGCCTAAGACACACGCACCTGACCCCCAAAATGAGTGACATTGCAGCCCCCGCCCCCACCAAGCACTGCTGCAGTCCCTCTGCCGGATCCCCGGCCCCGCCCCGCCCCCGGCAGTGGCATCTTCCCGGCTCACCTCCTTCCTCCTTCTCCCTCCCTCCTTCCCACCCACTTGCCTGCGCCTGCGGAGCGGCTCTTGCTCGCCCACTCCCCGCCTGGGTGCAGACTTGTGGCTCCCCACGGTCCCTTCCCGCCCATCCCTAGGTCCTGAGACACCCCCTTCTCCAGGGCAAGGGCTGTTCCTGGGTCAGCTTGGCGACTGGTAGCTGTTCTGCCGGAGGGTGAGGACGTCTGCAAAACCGGCTTGGAGGCTTCCCTCCACCTTCCAGAGAGGCCCAGCCAGCCCAGCCCCGTCCCCTTACTGCACACCTCTGCCCCGCTCAGCACCCCCGCCCCCACCCGGGGCTCAGCTGCCCTTCCCGGAGTCCCCTAGACCCCTCCCCCGCCCTGGGCGCCAAGCCCACCCACCTCCTGGCACCGCCCCCGGCCCGAACCGCCTCTTGCCCTTCCTACGCCTGGGCCGGAGCCCCCCGCAGCCACCTCCGGCTCCTCCTCCCGGCTCCCGCGGTCGGAATCACGCCGGCGCGCCTCCAGCCTGCGTGCCCTCCGCCCGCCGCCAGGGGCAGGCTGGAGGCGCACAACCCTCTTCTAATCCCCTTAGCCACTGCAGCCGGCCTGGGCACTTTTTTTTTTTTAAACCAGCTTGTTCTCAGGCCTCCTGCTGGGGGTGCGGGGGGGGGGCGCCGGATTTCTTTATGCCCGAGGGTGCATTGTACTAGCTATCCTGGGTCTCTGCAGATTTCCAAACCTCACCCTTACCCCTAGCATCCCCCCCCCCCCCATCTGCAGGATTCCGAGGTACAAAGTTTTACCCAGAGGCGGTTTGCAAGAGGTCAATGGGAGGAATTATGATTGTTTTCAGAGAAGTGACAGGGAGGTTAGGGAGGGGCGGGTACCCCCCATTTTGAAATGAAGAGTTCTGAGCCCGGAGGAACTGTTAGGATGCTCCTTTAATGTTTTTATTTGCAAACAGACCAGAACTTGGAAGGTGGGTTCTCCTCCCAGAGTGGCTCTGTCTCCCTCCTCTCACTGGTAAAATTCCCAGTAGGACATTTGGCAGAAGAGCCAGTCATAGGGCTGCCAACCGGGCCTGGCCCTGTTTCCTGGGTTCCTAGGGTGCTGACTTCTTTTTCCCCTCGCCTGATTTCTTTTTTCCCCTTAGGGCCCCTAGTGAACCACACCAACCCTCCAGGCCCTCTTGTCCCATCTTCCTTGGGCGGGTTGGAACTTGCAGAGCAATCTATTGAGCAGCGGAGGAAAATAACAGAATAAACTGTGGGGGGGGGGGGGGGGGGAATGAGTAATAAAACTGACCCAGTCAAGGAGGAGGGCTTTCATGTTTAGGCTGTGCTGTTTGCTTTTTAGGTCACAGGCTGCAAAAACAGGCTTTGATCCGAAGTAGGCGAATAATTTATTGAGAAAGTTTTCTTGGGGGGGGGGGGGGATGCTTGTTTGATCTGGAGCCCTCTCCTCGGTTGTTCCAAGTGCTGTTGGCTGCTGTTTTGAGTGGAAAAGCATTTGGTTCCACAGCAAATGCCTTTTAGAGGGAAGTCCTCACCCTACGCAGCAGGACTTAACAGTGAATGTTGGTTTTGAAACTGTTTGGCCAAGGGTCCCCCCAACACTCTTAGAGATGAAGTGTTTAAGGACAGGCTTGTTTGGGCTTTGGATACAGCAAATGTTTCCAGAATGTTTTCCCAATCCAACATGCTTTTCCTTTCCCTAAGTTGCCTGGCAAAATGGCCAGTGACTCCTATCCAAGAGGCTGTCAAAGATCTCAGCCACTTAGCTCTCATTGACAGCGTATGTGGGGGTCCCCAGGTCCCTGTTGTACCTTAATATCTAAGATAAGCCTTTGACACTGACTCCCCTACCTTTGATGTTTGTATTTGTATGAGACTAGAAGGTGGTTGGTCGTCTTACGCCCCCATCGAACGCTTCACTACATGTGCAGCAGGCTGTCTGGAGATCTCCGGGGTGTTTAGGTTGAATGGGAGGAGGCCAGGCCACAGTTGGGTGGAGGATAACTTTGACTCACCATGCACTCCCCCCGCCCCCCATATGGGACCTGTATCACATGCCTTAAACAGTTAAATGGTCTCAGCTCAGAGCTTTGGCACCAAGGGAAGTTGGTTCTGGTTAGGCAGTCTCTTAGCTTCCCCTCAGAAATCTCACTGGCATTTGGAAAACTTCCATCCGTACTGGGAACTGTGGTAAGCCTTCCTACAGACTTGAGCCCCTTGACAACAGAGTCAGCTAGCCTGGGTTTGAATGTAGTTTCCAGCTGTGGGAAAGGCCTATAGGTCTCAGTTTTCAACCAGCAGGACTGATGGTAATTCCTATCTATGATCATAGGAAGGAATAGGTTGTATTAAGGACTAAACCTGGGGCTGAGCATGTAGTTGATGGCTGAGCACCTGTTGAGCAAGCACAAGGCCCTGGGTTCAATCCCTAGCCCTACTGTGAAAAGGGAAGGGGGGAGGCAGAGCCCACACACACAGTGAGGCGTGTGGTAGCGCCCACACAATGGTAGCCACTATTACTCTGTTAACGAACCGAGGCAAGCCAGTTTATTATATGGCCTCCAATCTGTCAGTCCGCAGGCCAGAAAGCCATCTCCTCTGAAGAGACGGGAGGCATCTAACAGCTGGATTTAGAAACGAGCCACTGAGTTTTGCCCTGCGGGGGAAGAATAGGGTCGGGGAGGTACCAAATGATAAATTAGACAGAACCCATCACACTCTTGGGATCTCCCTGGTTGGGTCCTTAGAGCTGGGGCAGTAGAGTAGCAGGTAGGCAGTGATGTGGTAGGAGGGGAGGGCCCCGGCTCCCTCCCGGCTTGGAGAAGTCACAGGTGGCAGCCTTCTGCCTTGTATGTATGGGATCATTTTTTTTGTATCTACAATTATTGTCCCTGAGAAGGCATTAAAGTTAATAAGAGATGGGAAAAGAGTGGGGCTGTGACCCCCGTTTGAAGCAGTTTAAGAGTGTGCGAGCTCTTGTTTTCTGAATGTCTGGCCTTCCCTGCACAAGGAGGCTCTGAGGACAGGTTTTCCAGCCGAAATATCATTAAATTGTATTAGCATCTTATTACACACACGCCTTCTCAGTCTGCCTCAGACAGGGAGAGTTTTTGTTTCTTTCTGAGAGATTGTGTCTGGAATGGTAAATTGCCTGCCTGAAGGTCCCCCCCCCCTTTTTTTTTTTTTTTTTTTTTTTTAAGGAGGATGGAATCCTGCTGTGTGTGTGAGGGTAGGCCTGGTAGCCTCTGGAGAGGAGAGACCCTGAGGCCAGGTTTGGGGTGTTTTAACTGCCCCAGGGAGTGGCTTCAGTAGCTGGCCTGAAAGCCCCACTGTTCCTGGGGTCAGCTGGGAGGGCGTTAATGGAAGCCCAGGGTGTTTATTTGAATTTATTTGCAGAGACATCTTTAAAAGAGACTGGCACTGGGCAGTGGCGTTCCAGAGCTAGAACTTTAGTTGGGGCTAAGGCTGATGGCCCATGCTGCCAAGAAAACATCTGCCACCAAATTGCTGCCCTATTACTGAGTTGACATTGGTCATTAGCCAGGAGCCCAACCAAATAAAGCTGCCTGGAAAATGTGTAGGGTCAAGACAGGGAAGGAGGACTGTGAAAACAGGAGGGAATCTTGGGCTGGGGTGTTGGTTTCTGCCAGCAGCAGGCCGGCCAGCTGGGCTGTGTGGTCCTGACACTCCAGGAGGGGAGGGGCGGGAGCGTGTTCAGGACTCATTATACTGGGTGCACTGTGAGACTCCCTGGCGTTCACACAGGGATCTAGCCAGACATGCTCCTTACTCACTCCCCAGAAGGACAGTTGGCAAGTACCTCGACACACTGATGGGTGCTCTGAAGACAGAGAAACGGGGAGGCTAATTTCTCTAAATAGGGTAATGGTCAAAAAAACAGACACTGGCAGCTGCCGCAACTTGTGCCCGGGTCTGGAAGCATGGAGAAACTTCAGCTTGGGAGAGGGAACAGAAAAAGAGGCCAGGGGCTATGACTGTAGCTCAGTGGGAGAGTTCTCTCCTTGCGTGCGTGAGTGAGAGCCTAGGTCCGGTCCCGCTATTGCTGCTGTGCTGAGATGGAGTGAGCTCTGGGTCCAGATTGGTGTAGGCTCCTGCCGGGATGTGGAGAGCTAGCCTTGGATCAGTTGGAAGCCCGTAAAAAGAGTTTAGGGGGTGGTGGGGAGCATGACAGGATTTAAGCTTTGAAGGTCTCTTTGGGTGCTGTGTGGAGTTCGGAGTCCATGAAAGCGTGGGAGCGAACACAGATGGGCCAGGTGAGAGGTGAGGTGGGCATGGGGCAGTGGGGAGAGTGGGTGTGTTGGGGGCTTGCCAGAGGTCGACTGTGGCTCAGAGGTGGCACGGGGGCCTTCCTTGGGCCGCTGCTCCATTGAGGGCACCCTGGTCTCCCACAGTGTAAAGGATTGCTTCCCGTGTGTGCTCCCATACTGGGGTGGTATGGGAAAAGTGCAGCGGACCCAGAAGAATGGCAAGAACAGACCTTTCTTGCTCAGACTCTCCTTCACAGATAGGACTTCAGGAGCACTTCTCATCCCTCAGCAGCGAGTGCCGTGCGCCTCTGAAGTCCTCTGTCAGGGCAGACCATGACTGGGAAGAGCTGGGAGGGCTCCTTAGAGAGGGAAAGCTGGAGGCCAGGTTGACTGAGCAGATCCACCACCCACCCCCACCTATTGGCTGTCTTAGCAGTGTCCGTCCCTTTTCTGACCAGCGGGCCAGGTGATCTGTGAGACAGAGGGCCTCCTCATCGAGGTGGCTGGGTGTGCAAGCTGACAGGTCACCTGTTGGTTTCTGGGCAAGGACCCGGGACTGTAAGAAGGGTGTGGACAGCCACAGTCACTGCCTGTTCTTTCCAGGGGGCTGGCCCCGGTAGGGCTATCCATTCTGGCCCGAGGCAGCCAGCCATTTACTAGCTAGTGTCCCTGTGGTGCTGCAGCCACCCCACTCACTGTATTGAGAGTTCTTCACACTCACTTAGTCTCGCCAGCTGATTCTAGCCAACAGACGTGTTTAGTTTGGCCCTTTCAGGGTGTTCTTCAAATTCTGAGTTAGTTGCCAGCATTTTAAATTCAGGAGATATATGGGGAAATCAGATCCAGTTTACCTCCTGGGGGAAGTATGTCTTTGCCAAGACCTCTGGTCTTGTGAGTGGTGGAGTGAGGATTTGAACCCAGTATTCCTAAAGCCATACCCCCCTCCCCCACACCTCTTCTTCCTGGCCTGGGGGTGGGGGGGACCTGTGCATTCTAAACACATGGCTGGCTACTACCGAGTGCTATCCTTAGCCCCTAGCCAGCTGTTAGTGCTACAGGAGATCCTGGTTTGGAAGTACTCTTACTCTCTCTGTTGAAAATGAGAGAGAATTCCATTGTAGAAGGGATTGGACAGGTGATACCCCAGTGACAGCTAGGCTAGGCCAAGTGTGGGCTTAAAGCCACAGTTCTTTTCAAAGTCAGTCTTCCTCACATCCTGAATGTCACGGAGTGTGATGGCTTTGGTTCTGGGCTCCCTCAGCTGCAAAGAGGCCCCAAAGTCTGACAGTCATGGGTTGGCTCTTCTAAGTCCGTCACAAACACTGTCACCTTGGGTTAAGTCACTTGACCCCTGAGCCTGAGTCTCTTAGACTTAAGTTAGAGGGAGGAAGTTGTCATACCTACCAAGGGCCATTCTGAGAGCCCTGTAGGGGTCCTTCTGTGCTGGGACCCCCTGCCTGCTGTAAGAGGCTAGGCCTTTATTACTGGCCCTGCCTCTTGGCTTGCCTGCACTGCCAGATGCCCTATCAGGCTCCCTCCCATTCTGGGGTGGGGTGGGGTGGGGGGATCATGGGTAGGAGGCTTCTAACTGAAGTTAAGGGTAAAACAGGAAGGCTCAGAGGTCTGGGTATTCGTCTTCCCCACTTAGCGAGTGGGCATTTCAGGGACAGTGTGGCACCGCAGGAAGGTAGAGACCAGTGGGTGTTGAGGGGCAGATTCTTTGTACAAAGGGAGCTCAGGATAACCTCAGGAGTCAGATCGCAGACTCCAGGGCTCAGGGCTCATCTCCATTCAGCCAGTTAGCAGCAGAATGGGGCAAGCTTCCTCTGTAATCAGGCCTGAAGCTTACAGCTCACCAAGCTGTTAGGAGCTCCGCGCTGTGAATGAGGCAGTGAGGGAGCCGCCCTTAGTGTCTCAAAAGTTAGGTGACATACAGGTGAGGTAAAGCAAGTTGTATTTTTATCTGAGGATGGACAAACAATGCCCCATTTCCGCTCTCCAGTCGCCACCATGCTCGGGATTGGGCCGCAGTGATGGTTTGTGGCTTACCTTGACAGTATGGTCCTGGAAGAATTGTTCTTTTTTTTTTTTTTTTTTTTTCCTCTTCTCCCTCCTCCCTGTAGGGGGCGCTCGGGAGGTATCTGCCGTGGGTTACTCTGGTCTGCTTATTTCATTGAATGGGAACCGGGACTTGAGTGGTCATTGTCGCCTTTTGGTTTGTGCCTGCTGGCCTCCCCTGCAGCCTTTTTTACACCACCGGGGCAGACTTCTGTTCAGACTTCTGAGTTCCCTGGGGCCTCCTTTCCCAATCTCTGGCCCAGTGGGTGGCTATGGAGAGGATGGAGCTGGAGGAGAGGCAGGAACCTTATGCTTTCTCCGCATAGAAGTGTGGATTGAGGACGTAGGTGACGGGGTGTTTTCCAGAAAAATTGAGGATTTCCCCCGGTGTCTGTGAAGATTATGACCCTTCTTGCCCTTTTGTTGCAGATGGAAGAGAAGAGGCGAAAGTACTCCGTCAGCAGCGACAACTCCGACACCACTGACAGTAAGGCCCTCCCACCTGGCTCTACAGGGACAGTGGTTAAGTAACACTAGCAGGCCCAGAGACGTGGTAGGAGGAGGCTGGCTCTCCGTTCAGCTCAGCCCAGGGCCACATGGGTGAAACCAAGTCGAGTCAGGATCCTCTGGCCCTGGGGCGGTCAGTTCCTCCCTTCCCAGGGCCTCGGCCTCCCCTTTTTTCTACCGCCCTGCCCTCTAGGTAGGCTTCCTCTGATTGGAATAGACTGACTCCTCTGAGGGCATTTGCTGCTGGATGATAGTAGGGGAAAATGAATCCTTTGGCTTTCTCTGCAGTCAGGACCCTTGTAGAAGTCTCTACAAAACACACACGAAACCCTGTTGCCCTTTGTTTTGATCAGTTAATTATAATAAGTAGCTTCCTAACCAGTGGAAGACTCCGATCAGAGGATTCCTGTCATGTTCACCGCTCTGCTACCAGCTGTAACCCGACACACAGTAGGTGTTCTGTAAATGTGGGCTGAAGAAATTAACGAAGAAGCCCAGCCTTCATGGAATCCTGGCAGTAGGTTTTCAGAGGTAGATTTAGATAAGGAGTGAGGGTGTCAGGTGTCCAGGAGTGGAGGAAAGGTCCTGTTGTCAAAGGGCAAATGACATTTTGGGAGCAGAGAAGGAGGTTTGTGTATAGTAAGAGCTTCCCCTCCTGGGTGGTGACAAAAGGTATTTATTCTCCGATGGCCCAGGAGGCCAGGCCTTCCAAGCCTGTTGGATTAAGGAGTTCCGTCTTCCTGGGTTAGAAGATGCCCGAACTACTTCTTCAGGGTCAGAAGTTATTGCAGAAGATGCAGTAACTACTTCTTGAGGAAGCCACACTGCTGGGAGGCTGAGCCCGGATCTCTAGACCGGGTGAAGTAATGGCATCTACAAGGCCCTTCTAGTTCCAAACCCCCATACTCCCTAGCAACCAGGGGATGGGTAATACCCAGCCCTTCCTGCCTCCAGGCCTCCTCCACTGCCCTGTGAGTCTGGCTCTGGCTGTAGCCTGCTCCTCCACTCCACCCCTCTTGCTGAGGGAACAGCTTGAACCTGGACTTGGAGCCGCTCCCTCGCCGTTGGTTCCCGCCACTGTGCCCACCCGTGGCCGCTAATTCCCATGTTCATCAAAACACTTGGATCTTGAATTTGTTGTGGCGGTCCACTTCTTTAATCCCAGCACTCGGGAGGCTGAGGCAGGTGGGACTCTATGATAGGAGGTCAAGGCTGGCCTGGTCTCCATAGCAAGTTCGAGGCCAGCCAGGACTGCATAGAGAGACCCCTGGGTCTTCCTGGTCCTTCTGGCTGAGTCCATTGCCCTGTCGTCTAGCAAGGGCCTGGGACTCTGCAGTCGTGGCTAATTGAGGAATCCCTTTGGACCATCCTAAGGCTATAGATATGGTATCCTTTGACTAGCCTTTAGAGGAGAGTTCATCTCTTCTCCCGTTATTCATATTGCTCTCATGAATACTACAAGGTTGTTAACTTACAAAAGGAAAGGTTCTGAAAAGCCACACCACCTCCCATTAGCATTGTCCCAAGAACAAGGTCTTTTGACACATGGGCCTTTGAAGCACTCGTATCTAAATCATCACAACTCATATTAGAGGCCAGCAAGAATCCCAGCACCGAGGAGGCTGAGGAAGGAGGGGCTTGAGTTCGAGGCCAGTCTATCTTAGTCTCTTTCTGTTGTTGTGACAAAGTACCCTGACAGGAACAGCTTAAGGAAGGGTCTATTTTGGCTCACAGTTCCAGAGTCCGGTCCATCGTGGCGGCAAGAGCTTGATGCACTGCAGTTGGGAAGAAGAGAGATGAATTTGCTGTACTCAGCTTTCTTCGTTTTATACATTCCAGGACCCATGCCTGGGGTGGAGAGGGGAGGGTGCAGCCCACTTTTCGTATAGGATCCTTCCCACCTCAGTCAACCCAGTCAAATAGTCCATCCGAGGCTTAGGCAGAGGGTAATTGACCCCTCGTAGGTGTGTGGGAGGCTTATCCTCTAGATGATTCCTTATCAAGTTGGCATTGACACTTCATTATGGCACACCCATCCACCTCTTCCAGGCCTGCAGAGATCAAATCATTTGCCTGAGGTGACCAGTAAGTAGGAGGCTGACTTGGGTCTAGCCTGGTAGTCTACTGGTCTGTTCAGATTCTTACTTCCCTATGCCCTCCCCTGCTTCTGCAACCCACTGGGGCATCCAGGACTGCCATGGTGCATCTAAGCTGGGGCAGACTGAAGACAGGGCCTGGAATGTTCCAGCATTCCTTGACCAAGTAGGAAGCAGAACCTCAGAGAGGGCCCGGGACTTCTTTGGAGCCACAGAAGCAGCTGGTAACTGCCTTTCATTTTTTAAGGCCCATTTTCAGTGGTTGAGCGCAGGAGCCTTCACATTTCCATTGGTCTTTGGAAAGATTGGGGCTCAGAGCAAGTACCAGTGCCTCCCATCTTCTGATCCGACAAGCTGGGGCTCTCCTTGAGACTTTGGTCCTCTGTGTGGTTGGGGTGCCGCTTCTGACTCTTCAGGACCCCTCATGGCCTGTGTGCTCTCTGCAGGCCACGTGATATCCACATCAGCATCAAGATGTTCCAAGCTGCCCAGCAGTACCAAGTCGGGCTGGCCCCGGCAGAACGAAAAGAAGCCCTCAGAGGTAGGTAGCAGTGCTGGGGAAGGTTCTGGGAAGGATGAGGCTGGGGCGGGGAGGTGACTAGAGTGATACCTGTGGGGAGTAAGAGAACGAACTGAGGAGATGCACGGAAGGCCACGTGTTCTCGGCAGAGGGCCCGCGGCCAGTATGGCAGGTTGGAATGAATGGGGGAAACCAGTTAAGTCCAAGCCAGTGGTTCCCAACCTGTGGGTTGCGACCCCTTGTGGGGGGGATTGAATGACCCCTTCCCAGGGTTCACATATCAGGTGTCCTGCATTTCAGTTATATTACCATTCATAACAGTAGGAATGGTACAGTTAGGAAGTAGCAATGAAATGATTAGATGGTTGGGGGAGGGTCCCCACAACATGAGGAACCGTATTAAAGGGTCGCAGCATTGGGAAGATTGAGAACCGCTGGCCTAAGCCATTCCTCTTGACCTGAGAGAATGTTTGAATGTTCCTAAGTGGGGCAGTGACACAGTCTGGTGCATTTGTTGTTGTTGTGAGACCGGGTCTCTCTTGCATAGCCCTGGCTGGCTTGGAACATGCTGTGTAGGCCAGGCTGGCCTCAAACTCCGAAAGAGGGGTTTCCTGGTCTGCAAGTAGAGAGAGGTGTTTCTGGCTTCTGTGGAGGGGGGTCCTTGGCACATGAACCGACAGCAAGCCCCTTCCTGTAGCCGATGGAAACCTGCATGCAGTCTTGCTGGGGACTTTGCCAGCAGGGCACCGGGCAGAAAAGAGGCTCTTGGTGTAAATATGGCTGTGGGAGCGTGGAGGGCTGTGCATTTTCACCCCTGTACTTTTCACATGCAGCTGTTTTGCAGTTGGGATGGGGTCCAGGACCATGTCTTTTCCCAAGCCACCCCCTCTTTTCTCCTGTTCCTACTCCACTGGGATCATCTGGTGTCAATTTTTACCAGCCCCTAAATGTGTAATTTGGGGTGGTCTTCCTGTATGCACTTAGGTGCTCTTCCCCAGAGCTTTGTATTTAAAAGAAAAAAAAAAAAAAACAACAAAACTCCTTTAATCCCAAGATGCCCTGCTCTAGGCCCTTCCCCTTGGGAGGTGGGCTTGGGACCCTGTGAGAGGGTTCTCCCATCTTCCCTTAAGTTACAGTGATTGTTTAGTGTGCCTCGATGGCAGCCCTGATAGTTTTTGAACTTGGGTTGGGTAGAAGTGTATGGAGGTATTTTTGGGGGTGTTGTGAACGAGGGAGTTGGAAGCTGGGGTTTTTCTGTACCCTTCTCCTTAGCTGGCTATTTGGGAGGACAGTGTACCAAATACAAGTTTGGGAAGCAAGTACTGGATGGGATCTTGGCAGGCCCTGCCTCTTCATGAATGAGTAAACAGTGTGATCGTTTGTTTGTTTGTTTGTTTTTGGCTCTCCTGGTCCTCAGAGGCAGGAACTGCCATGCTCATTTATTGGGGATGTTGCCTCTGAGAATCCAGCCTTTCTTCAACTTCCCCGTGGTTCTTGGGTATTGGCATGAGGTGGGAAATTCCTGAGGGAGCCATCTCTTCTGCTGCCCCGCCCCCACTAAGCTAGTGTGGGGGGGAGGTTGTCTTCTACACTGGCTGGGATCAACCTTGGGAGGAAACAGGTGTGTCAGCAAGGCTGAGAAGAAAGAACAATTTGCATGGGGCAGAAAATTCCCCTGCCTCTCGGGTTTTCCAGCCCAGAGGCTTTGTACCTAAAAATAGACTTGAACCTCTGTAAGGTGCCTCCTGGGGACTAGCTGTGAATGGCCAGGTCCCAGCCCAGGAGCCCCTGCAGGTGGCTGTGATGTCCACCCAGGAGGACTGAAGAGTCGTCCGTGCCTTGAACTGCAGCCAAACCTTTCCTCCCGCAGCAGGTTGGAGAGCAGCCTGAGAGCTTTTTCCTTATCCCCTGAGTGAGAGGGTTGAGCCGTGGCCGGTATAAATTCCGAGTTATGGCGGGGCAGAGAAGAAAGCATGAATGAAAGCTTCCAAATGATTTGGCTCATGAGAGGGCGGAGAGAAAAAGCTAGGACTTGGCTGCAAGCTCGTGCGCAGGCTCTGAGGAATGACCTGGAAGCAGAGGGCCTTGCTGGTGAGCCTGGCCTAGAAGGCAGAGGCTCTAAGCACCCTAATGAAAGGGGTTCTGGGGAGCCCTGTCTGCCCAGGGCCCTATGGTATAGTTGCCAGGCTGGTCATACTATGCACTCTTACTGTGGCAGTATGGTGCAGAACTCCTCCCTACCCCTGGTGGCTGCAAAGCTGAGGAAGCTACGGTTCCTTCCCTGTTTTTATTCCCAAGCTTGTCCAGTAGTGAAGAAGAGAACTTAAGGACCCGTGATGCTTAGCTTTGCATGCAGTAAACTGTAAAATGGCTGAGGGGTAGGTTTAGGAAAAAAACAGAAAAATACCCTTCCTTGCCTATCTATCGGGTGCTCGACACACTTAATGTGGCCCGGGGCCAAAGAGCACTGACCGAGAGTCAGGACCCTGGACAGGGCCGAAGCGAGCTTTCCCATATGGCTTTTCACCCAGGCTCCTCCCTGGGCGGAAGGGAAAGGGTGGGTGGGTTAGGAGTCTGTCTTTGCTCGGTAGAAGGAAAGGGGGGCAACCAAGCCAAGGTCTCAGGCTTCTTCTCTTAGGCCTTTTTGTGGCACTCCCACAAAGCTGAAATCTGCCCCTTGGACCTTAGATTCAGAAAGAGGGGCACCCAGTCTGAGGAACTGGTACTGTGTAAACTCTGCTGGAGCCTTGGAGTTCTGGCTTGGGCTGCCTCGCCCAGTACTGTTGGCATCTTACCGCTTCAGCCCTCATGGGTCACGGCTTCATAGAATCTGAAGTTGAGTTGCAGTCTGAGCTCATCTTTGCTATTCCATCCAGCTCCAGCCATCTACCCCCAGGTAGAGGCCAGTACTTAGGTAGGTAAGAGCCTTCTTTCTGGGGAACAAGCTGAGAGGTCGGCTTTAATTTCCCCAAGTGGGGCTTCAGGCTTCTTGCCTCCAGCAAGCTTCCTAAATGGCAAACAGTATCTTAAATGAGGCCAATAGAAGGGGCTTCTCACCCAATCCCCCCTGGCTATTGTCATGCTGTCCCCATGAGAGAGACAGACACACACCCTTGCAATGGACAGGTTTCTTCTGAGCCAGAGGGCTACCTGGGGTGCTAAGGACGGTTCTGAAAGAGACCTGGAGACCTGCCCTGTGGTTGGTGCTGCAGGCTGCGTTGAGCCTAAGACTGAAGGACGGGCCAAGCAGTGGGGATTTCCCCTAGGCCACCTATCTGGAGGCGGGACTCTGTGTCAGGGAGCCTCTGCTGCTGAGTAAGGTCAGCCAGCACAGAGGGTGCCTGGGAGGCCTGGCTAGATGTGGGTGTGTGTGTTAGTTAGGGAATTCTTCTACTGGGAGAAGTCCAGCCTGCTTTGCCTCTGGGGAACTTTGGGATGCTTGGCAAGTGACTCCTCTCTCTCTCTCTCTGAGCCTTGAGATAAACATCTGGAGATCACTTCTAGGGATATGGCTGCCTTTTCCTGATAGCCATGGAACCCATGGGAGGCTGTCTTTGTTATTATTCTACTACTTGAAGAGACTGTGACCAAGGCGACTTATAAAACATTTAATTGGGGGCTTGCTTATAGTTTCTGAGGGTTAATCTGTGATCATCATGGCAGGAAACTTGATGGCTGGCAGGCAAGCAGGCAGCATCAGAGCAGTAGCTGAGAGCTCACATCTGACGTGCAAGCATGTGGCAGAGAATCTGGGCCTGCTGTGGGCTTTTGATACCTCCAAGCCTACCCCCAGTGACACACCTCCTTCAACAAGGCCACGCCTCCTAATCCTTCCTAAACAGTTCCACCAACTAGGGACCAGGCTGTGGGGGCCATTTTCATTCAAACCATCACAGAGATGAAGGTTCCAGAAGAGAGTGGGATGAGTAGATGTCAGGAGAAGTTGGTCACTTCGAATGATCCCAGAACAGGAAAGGTAGGAGTTGGGATCCTGCAGTCCGGCTTCTGTAGGTTCTGCTGAGGAATGAGTGTCTCTAGAGGAGGGAATGGGGCCTTTGTACATTCTACAGAAGCCCTTTCCAGATGCCCAGCTCCCTGCCCTGACGTACTGGATCTGGCCAAGAAAGTGAAAACACCCTCAGCAATAGGATGTCCGTAGGTGTATCCTAAAAAGCTGTGTGAGGAGACCCACTGTCCCAGCCTTTCGGCTCTACTTAAAACAATAAGTAACTACCAAAAGTTCAGATCCACCTTGAGAGAAAGATGGTACAGCCGGTCTGTTAGGTCAAAAACCAGGAAATAATCCTGGAGGCACAGGGATGATGCCTGGATGCTTCGAATAAGATAGTCTCTGTCAAAACAGCAGTGAGGGCCGGGGCTGCAGCTCAGCTGGTGGGATGCCTGCCTGGTGTGCATGAGGTCCCGGGTTCGATCCCAGCACTGCACAAATGTCCTGGGGGCAAGGAGATTTCAAGTTGGGCCATCAGAAAGGCTCAGTCCCAGCAGGTCAGAATGGCTGCCAAGCAAACCGGGCCACCTGAGCTGAGTCCCTGGAACTCACAGATGGCAGGAGAGAATCAAGCCCAAAAAGTTGTCCTCTGGCCTTTATAAGTGCTGTGGCACACACCCCTTACACACACACACACACACACACACACACACACACAGCATACACACAAATACGTGAGAGATTCAAAGTCCTTGACCACACACAAGCTCCAAGCTAGTCTGGGTTACGTGAGACTCCGATTAAACAGGTAAACAGACCGATGTTGGCTGGGAGCACACACTAAACCTTAGGTTTAATCCCCAGCACTGAATACACCAGGCATGGTGGTGCGTGCCTGTAATCCCTGCATTCAGGAGGTGGAGGCAGGAGGATCAGATGTTTGAGGTCATCTCCACTATGTAAGTAGAGGCCAGTCTGGGCTAGCCACCCTGACTCCAAACAGACAGACAGACAAAGGAAATTGATACGGCGCCCTGTGTCATCGCATGCAGAGAGCTCACACACTTACATA